AACAAGGGATAGCATTGCTGCCATCAGATGGATTTTGACTGAAATCAGAGAAACCCCAAAAGATATTTACTTGTGTCCCATTGACTATGTGGATCATAACAAACTATGGATAACATTGTAAAGAATGGGAATTCCAAACACTTAAATAATACTCGATGGGATACTAAAGGCTTTCCCGTAAACAGTATTTATCATTTCCAGCACCCAAAAGGTTTTTTTGTGAAGCATATAAAAAAATCCTATGTAGCTGCATTATTCTGCATTAAAACTAACATTTTGCATTTTTTATATGGCTGTTTTTGGTTTTCTTAGATACTTTTGAGGGTTCTTACATCTCTTATCACAATCCATACATTCATCCATTGTTGTCAAGCACATTTGCTTGTATACTGATATCATTTTCAAAGCATTCTTTTCCCACTTGAGCCCCTGATACCAGCTCTCCATTTCTTCTCCCTCCTTTACCCACCTGCCCTCCCTCAAGAAACCTTGATAAGTTATAGATTATTATTTTCATATCTTACATCATCCTCTGTTGCCCCTCGCTCACTTTTCCATCGTTCGTCCTTCTGGGAAGGGGTTATAGGTTGAACTTTGTGATCGATTCCCCCTTTCTCCACCTACCCTCCACTAATCCTCCTGGTATCACCATTCTCATTGTTGGCCCTGAGGGGTTTATCTATCCTGGATTCCCTGTGTTTCGGGCTCTAAGATGTAGCAGTGTGCATGTTCCGATTTGTAAGGTACAATTGAGGTCATGATAGTGAGGGGAAGGAAGCACCAAAGAGCTAGAGGAAAGTTGTGTGTTTCATTGGTGCTATACTGCACTCTGACTAGCTTATCTCTTCCCTCTGACCCCTCCGTGAGGGGATGTACAGATGTCTACAGATGGGCACTCCACGCCCATCCTCCACTCCATGCCCCCACCCCATTCACATTGGGTATGATTTTGTTTTGTGTCTTAGGTGAGTATGGCTGTTTTTTATACAGTTATTAGAAAATGCTATTAAAATATTCCTCCCTTTCCCGT